TTTCACTAGGGGTTCCACCACTGCCAGAATTAATCAACCCTGAACGAGGATTCTCCAAAGTGTTGTTGTTTGGAGCAGACGTGGGTGGAACAGCAGGCAATTGGCGAACAAAAGCTTGGAGAGCGTTATTGACTTGAGAGGCAATAAGTTTTTGCAGAGCCTCATTCATGGTTTCAACGTTTTCGAATTGAGCCTGTCCATCTGTATAAGATCCATCAGGAGTGCCTTCACGAGATCGTCGTGGGGAACCTCGTGGAGAACCTTGTGGAGAGCCTTGTGGGGAATCTCCCTGAAGTTGTTGGACTGTCTGAATTTCTGGGTTTCCTTGAATGTTGTCATTGTTGTTCGACATGATTGATGCAATCAAGAAAATTAGATTGAGATATGCTTGATTATCAGATTCCCGGTAACGGAACCAATTTGTTTAACCAAAAAATAGAATTTCGGTTAAAACTAGAAATTAAGAAAAAAAATCGGGTTACTGATAATCAGGAGACGAAAAGAATAAGAAATTTTTGAGAATAATAAAGCAGTAAATAAGTTTGTATTTCAATGTAATCTCAATGATATTTCGTGTCCTTACAAATGCTGAGATCTCCTCCTTTTATAGTTGATTTTTCTAGGAAAAGGTATAATGTCTCAGTCTTAAAGAGGCAATTATGAGCATTAAATGACATTAAATGAAACGTTACACAATCATTCCTATTCAATGCTGATTCGCTAACGTATTTGACATTTAATACTGAATTTATACTCCTTTATGCTATCAGATTCATTTCTTCAATTCTTTCTGACCTCCTGGCTTTAATTAAGTTAAATAGATACGAGACTCGTATTATTTGAATAGCATCTCGTGCCTATTTAACTCTCTTCTTTTCGTATCTGAGATCGCCCGTGCCCCTCAATTAATCATCATGTTTTGACCATTTGACCAGTCCACGTATCATGCCACGTCACCTTCAATATAAATTCAGTTTTTTCCCAATACAATAAACCCCGATGGTGGAAAAGACCAACTAATATAGACTGGTGCATCACTTTGTCGAACTGCTGATTGAACACGACAAATTCTATCAGTGTTTCCAATAACGGGAAAACAGGTGTTCTGCCAGTGACTAGAAGGAACATATACTGCCATGATTTTTGCAACTCAAACTGATGAGATGGAAAAGAAAATAAATGAAAGTTAGAAAAGGAAACAAAATGAATTTCTATTAAAAACTCGTTGATAAGTATTCAATGATGGGAATGCTTATTTATGCTTTATATTTTATAATCATAAACCTAATAGAAGTAGGATTCGTTTTTCCTAAAAATGGTCAGCTTCCTAAATGAAAATAAGTGAGAAAAATTTAAGTAATAATTATTTTATTGCAAATTTAATCCTTTTCTTGATGCAAGTAGGATTCTAGTTTTGGAACAAAGTTTTATCGTAGAAAGAGTACTGGAAAACAAAGCGGGGATAGCTCAGTTGGGAGAGCGTCAGACTGAAGATCTGAAGGTCACGTGTTCGATCCACGTTCACCGCATTCTTTTTTGTTTCAGCTTTTGATTTATTTACCAGATTATGAATTTTAATTATCGGGCTGATAACATGGGACTAAATCTGTGTGGTACACTACAGCACAAGAAAACCTATGTTTTTATTGGGTTGAGTTAAATTCCAATTTTTATTTTTGCTCATCGCTAATTATAATTGATTAAGTCATTTTAGTTTTGACTTATTCTCGGCCTGGAGTATTGAGATAGTTCGCGAAGAAATTTAGATGCGGAACTAGAATTTTAACTTGATAGAATCAGCATGTTCCAATAATATAATGTTTGTTAAAATTTTAATGTATATCATGTTCTGTGTCGAGCAATATTGAATTCGATTAAGCCGTAACAAATTCTAAGGTCAGACATAAATTGCAGTCTAGTGCACAAAGCATTTCCCGTTTACACAAGATACCGGGGAGGGCAGCACCACAAGAAAGTGTGATGTAGGTATTCTACCTTGACATTAATTCCACATCTTGAACGGAGGCGGATCCAGAATTTTAGGTTTATGGGTTCCTATAAAAATTTGAGTTAATATACAATACTAACTGGATGAACGGACTGGGTTCTAAGCTATATATTCTTATATATTTAATGAATTTTTCAATACAAATACAGGTTCTAGACAAAAGCTACTGGGTTCACGGGAACCCGTAGTTATTGAACTGAATCCGCCCCTGATCTTGAATCCGTGACACATAGGTTATACGAAGAATACTTTATCATTGTTCTAAGTTCCTTTTCATTTGTTAGCGATTAGAATAGAATAGTCTAATTATGATGAATAATGAATAGAACGTCGGATTCACATAACTGATCCACAAGAAGTCAAAGGTGTTACTTAGAGAAAGTATGTACTATCTACGATTTAAATTGGAAAGGAAAAATTGGCTAATTCAAGAATCTTAGCCATATTTTACATAAAGAATGTATGATGTATATTGGTATATTGCAAGAAAAGGCATAAATTTTGAATCTCTTCTTTCTATGGGCACTATCTTTGGCACATTGCTTCCAAAAATTTATAAGTTTTTTGCGAGAACTTACTTCGATACGATTTTATATCTACCTCGTCCCTTTTAATACCTTCATTCACAATTGTTTCATACGTATATACAGATCGTGCATCTGCGTGCCGATGCAGGACATGACCAAACCATCTCAAACATAATGTAAGAAAAAGAAATGGGACAAGTTTTCGCCTCTAAGAATAATATTTTGCTTTTGATAGTTCATGAAATACATCCAACCAACATTTGCACAAACATGTAAATAAGAACTGCTTATTAACTGTAAAATTCACATTATCAGTTGGTAGCATACAACACTTACAACAATTTGCCATACAACAAATGGTAACTGTTTAATAAGAACAACAAACAATATATAATCTTCAAACTACCAAAAAGAAAAAAGACCCTGATTTGATTCGACATCTTTACCTTCACCAGGTAGAGGTAATGTTTGCGTACACTTTACTCTTCCTAGACTCCCGTTGTGAGATTATACTGGGCATTGTCGTTGCTGTTGTTGATTCGACATCTTCCAAATGTTGTACAACTCTGTATGTTTCACTAACAAAAAGAAGACAATCGGCTTTTCAAGAAAAAAAATTAAAAGAAATCAAATGACTTACATCTATTATAGTGAGTGAAATATTTTATTCTCCATTTGATGGAAAATAATTTTGTTTGCTCAAAAGTTATTACATACCTTATGAGTATAAAATAATATAAATGAATCACGGGAAAATCATAGCAAATCGTAATAATCCATTGGAACAAATGAAGAAGACGAAAATAAGTATTCAAAGTTAGGGGGAGAAGCATTAGAAGCCTTTATTGATAATATTGGTTTGGTCTGCCTCTCCATGAAGAGGTTCAGAGCCTTACAATGGTGTGTCTTTTGACTACAATTTGGATATCGTTCTCTCTTTCTTCTCCCTCTCTAATGGTCAAGAAGAACCCCCCCCCCCTCCCCCCCTTTCTAAGGTTCCCTCTCTTGGTTTTTATAGCTGTGGGCTTCGTGAGCTGGCAATAAGTGGCCGTGACCACGTGGGGATCTCGCTTTTATGGTGGCGGATAGGCCATGGCCTTGTTGATCGAGCCAGATGCGGGTTGAATATCGTCAATTCGGAGTGGTCGTGCCACTAATTAATCATAAATTAGCTTAAGACGGGATTAGCCTTGTTGATTATCGTGGGTTCGGATTCTGACCCATACAGTTAGTCCCTCCGCTTATTGAGGTCGGGCCTTGGCCGAGCTTGATGAGCGGATTCCATTGGCTGTATTTTGAGAAACACGGATGGGGATGTCGACTGTTGCTTCGGTCGAGGCCGAATTCTTTTTGGCGATGGCCCTTAGCCTTGTAGAGTATTAGTATCCTGTTATTGGGCTATCAAGTC